ATCTAGCTACATATTTAACAAACCACCCACGTTTTAACAACCTCACAGCTCATACCTAAATAAACAAACAAATAACTATTCTATCAAAATTAAATTACCCGCATTAAACAAATTACAACAGAAATTAAATTGAACGTAAACTTACTAATGAGATTAAAAAATTGTCTGTATCATGAACGCAGTCATTTTGACACAAGACACAGATAATCAACAAAAATTACGCGAAAAAAAAGAACATTTCAAACTTCGAACCCCGTTTAACGACCAATCATGGCGCCGGAATTTGATTGTGGGGCGTGACTGCACTCATTACTCAAAGCTTCACTACGAAAACGCAACGAGAAACGTATGCCCATCTCTGTCTTTTGTATGCGTTTTAGAATGAGATAGGTATAGTTGTAGAGCAATTTGCACGGATCGTTGAGCAATACACAGCGTGTTTTAATATTTAATTTTATTGCGATATTAAGTTTGTTGCGAATAATAAAATAACTTTATTATTGTACTGGATTTATGTGGGGGGTGCGGTAATGGCGCGTTCCCCGATTCGTATTAATGTTACAAAGTGTGATTTGTTTAAATTACACGTTTATGTGTGTCGCCATGATTCGATTAGTTTGTAGTTTTGTTACAAATGAGTGTCATTTATTGAGATTCATTACGGTGACGAATTTATTTGTACTTATATTATTATTGTTGTGAGAATTTGTTGTTGAGTTTGATTGAGTCAAGAAAAGTTTTCGGGTAGTTGCATTTTTACACCTTTAAAGGTTTTCTTCTCGTTACATTTTCACGCCTTTTTTACAAAGGACACGGAATAGGGTGCAATAGGTTTAACTCAACTCGCTAACGAGTAGACGGATCACCTGTCGTGAACATCGCCACCACAATGGTAGTATAGAAATAAAAATATATAATGATCTCATCATACTTAGGTATGTACTTATGTAAGAAAGAAGAAAGAAAGAAACAACATTTATTCAGCACCAGGCACGATGCAGCATAAATAAAATATAAAAAAGACAATAAAGGTGTGACAGGGGAAGTAATAAAAACATAAGAGTTGAAGAATTAGAAGAGAGACGCTGACAACATGCCTATGTTGAAAGGGTCACCCACTCAGTGTATGTAGGTAGTTAGTTGAAGTTAGTAAATCATGTGGCTTATCAACTCGTTTTGCCGATGAACTGAATAATTGACAAGCAAGAAAGCTATCAAATAAACCACATCCGACTTAACACTACAGGATACAAAAAAGAACATAATTATTTTGAATCTATGACTCAATACAATCAAAATGCAATGAATGGATTCTATTACGAGCGTCCGTATTACCGGCAGTGCCTATATCCAGCCATATACTGGCCGATAATAGGCTAAAGTTATGAATGAATGCCCTATTGTTTTTCATTTTATTGTTGGTACAATCAGAATTCAGTTCGCGGACACATTTTGGAAGATTATCAAGTCAATTTTGTGTGAGAACGCAATACGAGACTCGACTTGAAAAATTTTCTTTCTTAGTTTTACCGAAATTGTATTTTTGGTGAATATTTTCGACGTCTTTTCATCTGATTTTGATGGTAGACTAAGGGGAGAAGGATTAAATTGATGGATCAAGGAAAAACAATATTATCGTATTTACATTTTATATTTTATTATTGAGTAAAATTTATTCAAGTCAAGTCTAAGCTTTCATTTCAATTAATACTTAGAACGAGCGCTTAACTACTCTGAGTAGTTAAGCGCTCGTTCCAAATTATAGTTTCGAAGAATTCAAAGGAAAACCCATGCACCAATCAGCACCCTAGCGCCTTACTGTTTGAAAACGCCGACAGATACCGACGGCGTTGTAGTTACTTATACTAGGCAGAAAGGTTCTATTAAACTAAAACACTACAAAGGATATTATTCCAAATCAAGACACTTAGACTAACTATGGCACTGATTTTCCTTCTCATTTCAGCTACTTAGAAAGTTGTGTCCGTCTCGATGCTCAAGTGATTGTGTGCTCAACACCAATGCATGGATTGCTGTGTTATTAGTTAGGTTATTTAAATCTACTGACGATTACCAGTGTACTGTGTGAATTACCAATACCTAATACCTTCAGCTAGTAATAAAATTGCATCTATAGAATCGCTTCCTACCCTGCATAAGGCACGTATGGTATATTCGATACTAGCGACCCACCCCGGCCTCGCACGGGTGCAATATGCATGTATTATACATATAAACCTTCCTTAAGATTCACTCTACCTATTAAAAAACCGCATCAAAATCCGTTGCGTAGTTTTAAAGATCTAAGCATACATAGGGACAGACAGACGGTGGATAGTGAATGGTTTTATATTATGTAGTGATTACAATCTTATCTTCATTTAACTACTAAAATACATGACACACAATAAAAGTTTCATCACTCATAACTACACTAAAGCCATCAAGCTTTACCAACAAATCGTAAATTATCATGTACACATCAGCGGTGTCCCAAATAGCCACAATCAATTTAGCGGGAGACTTGCTAAGTGTTCAGGGGAGGGGGACAAATTGTTCACTAATGACCACCTCGACGGCCAAGTGGCGGTGCTGGCTTTGGACGGGAGAGAGTCGGATTCAGATTGGGATTTTGTAATGGATAGTGGAACGAGATTAAGATGGTATGTATGGATTGTTAGGTAACAGGTATACCTTATTGTAAATTAAAAAATAGACAATATCTACATAAGCGTAAAATTAAAGAAAAAAGAGTTAAACATTAACCTGTCATTCCATGTTTGTACTTATTTTCTGCCAGTAACGTTATTTATTCTTAATGTTACTAATATTAAAAATTTTAGGGTACCTAGGTACTATAATAAATAAAAAAACTATAAAAAAAATTAAGTTGTTAATGAAAGTAATTAGATAATTCTGGGACAAAAACACTTTAAAAAAAAAAAAATAACTTAACTAGGTACCAATAACATAAAAATGTTAATAATGAAGTAGACAGTAATAAATAATAATCGGTGTTTTCGTATTAGTTATTTTTTACACAAGGACAAAGTTAAAAAGCACAATAATTCTTAACCAAAAGCGAAACGACATAGTTTAAACATCTACTTATAAACCATAACAGTTAATACAAGCATAATTTATTCAGATTCACGCCTCGAACCCCTCGGGTATTTGCGCTGGCGCACTTAATTCTATGTCAGTCACTGTCGCAAATTATTCGCGTGTCGGTCTGTTGAGGGAATAGAAGAGTGGTGTTACCACAAGCTTTGTCAACTGGGAGTTGGTGTTTTAATGGATTTCTAAGCAGTTTATTGTTTAGGCATAGATTTGTGGATGGCCTTGTAAAAAGAGATAGATAAGGTTAGGTATTCTGAGAGATGACGGTGGAAAATTTCAGAAGATGCCTTTTGGGGAAAAGATTAAAAAATAATAAAATAGTCTAAACGACAAAGTATCAGGAAAGCTACCCCAAAGATCAACACTCATTATAGGCCACGGGGTCCACCGGAGACGAAACCCACTAGCATTATTACAATAACATGCTGTTTTCTTTTAATAAAAAAAAGAAGTTGATTGTAAACTTTCATCGTTGGCTATTATTAACATTATAACATCATATACCTATTCAATAGCGACGTGAAATGAACGCAAATAAATATAGAATGATCCTGAATGATTTTATTGATTATAAATATTATTGCAATACGGTGACAGGTTAGAACTGTTGGAAGTCAGCCCACACCTAATTTAGGTAGACAAAGAACCGTTGATTGGTTTTTATTATTGTGTCTAATTTATTATTATAAGATTACAATTTAAGGGGCACCGAAGGTCGGTAACATAATCGTAATAAATCGACTTCGCAGACGTAACGAACTGTATTAGACTGTAAGTTATTTAATACCTCATTGATATAAGAAAGAGCGTTCTTTTTATTTATAACATTAACAGGTAGGTGCAATAAATGTGTGTCACTATTAAAATCATAGTCGTGGTGGCCCCGGAGGTTAAGACGCCCGCTTCTCATACATGAGAGTACGGTTCGAAACTTACCAACGGCAAGTACCAATGTGACTTTTTCTTGTGTACTTTCTAAAGCCATTTAAACACTACTGACAAACGGTGAAGGAAAATATCGTGAGAAAACCTGGGTTTATAATTTCTAATTATAAGTTTGTAATCGCCAACATACATTGAGCAAGCGTGGTGATTAATGCTCGAACCTTCTCCGTGTGAGAAGAGGCTTTGCTCAGCAGTGGGCATTTATAGGCTGTTGATGATTAAAATCAAAGCCCTTATTTCAATAAACTGGCACACGTACAACGACGAAATAGAATTGTCTATTGCAGTCAGTCTATTAGCAAATCTATTCGATACCACCTGACCAAAATAGCCAACTAGAATTCATAAGACTAATAAAAAAAGGCGACTAGAATGAAAATAGTAAGCAAGTAGCTCATTCCAAACGGGGCACAAAGCAATGAAATTTATACCCCGTGCTGACACCGGCAAAACATTGTGATCACCACCAATTACCACTGCTACACTGCCTCCACAAATATCACTAGCCTCGTCCCTTTCTAACCTACTATTGCCACACTCGCCATCCCTTTCAGGCATCACACAAAAGTATTCTTAATCATTTCTTTGGCAAAACCAAAAGGACATATGTAGAAATTGTAGTTCTATGAATTGCTTGCTATAGTCAAAACTATAGAGTTTGAAATTGAATGGTAATTGTTTGAATTTGAATCAGTTTTAACGTTGCAGGAAAATGATCTTTACTTTGAAGAATATAGAGGTTGGTTTATGTTTGTGCAGTGTTATAATAGGCTCGTTAGCATTGTAGTAAGAGGATAATGACAGGAGTATTATGACGATAGCAATAAAGCTTACATTCCCTTGTCCAGTGGTTAGTAGTAATAAAATAAAATAACGTTTTGACAACACCCCGTATGGAGGCGTGGCGAGTGAGTTTACGCGCGATTGTCGCGGAGTGCAGACGCGTCGCACGACGCGGGTTAAATTGTAATTTTTTAAATTAAATTTAGAATACAGAAAATTCGTATTGTTGCTTATAAAATACAATTGAGAAATTTTATAGTGATGACAATGAACTGAAATTTAATTAAAAAATAATAGACATGTTACTAAAAACGTATAGTGATATTTTTTCAAATTCACGCCTTTGAAGTGATTGATATTTAAAAAAATACTACAAAAAACAATTGAACTGAACGTGTTTTAATCAAAAAAAGAATGTAACGAAACAAATACCCATAAAACAAAGACTGTTAACTTGTGATTTTTAGAAAAAAAAAGTGACTGAAAAAAAGTTAAGTGCTAAAATGGAGTCGAAAGTCGAAATAAGTGAGACACAAACCCAGAAAAAGGTGCCGAAGCCGTTTTCCATCGAATCTCTAATTGGAGATCGGAAATCACCAGAAATAGATATAGAAAACAATATTTCTGAGAGTTCCAGAAATTCAGAAGAAGATGAGAATGAGAGATTAGAAGGATTAAACCAGATGAGATATTACGCGCCATTTTTGCAACAAAATGGCTTCCCATTTTTACTAGGATACCCTGAACCGTGGTTGTCAAGAGTGCTCGGTTCCGTACCGGCTCCAGTGAGGGAAAATCGTGAAGAAGAGAAGAGGGAGAGTCCTGTGAGTGTCGGGAGTGAGGCTGAGAGTGACGGCGGAGAGGAGACTAACCAAGGTTTGTAGGCATTTGTCACAACTTGTCATCATCAGCCCGCTGATGCTAAAGGCTTAATTACAACACCTGCCAAAATGGATTGACTGTTTTAAACTTATAGTTTACAATTTATAAGTTCAGGTTTACATCACCGTATATTAGTGAACATAACATCACGCCGTTTATCCCCGAAGGGGTAGGCAGAGGTGTACATTACGGCACTTAATGCCACTGTACAATGTAACACCCACTTTTCACTATTTATGTTATGAATCCCATGTAATAGGGGGTGTGCCTATTGCCGTATACCGGGCACATTTTCAGACTCCGTGCTACTATTGAGATTTTTAAAAACCCAGTAATACTTTGCCCTACCGGGGAATTGAACCCGAGACCCCTTGCCCGGCAGTTGCACTTGCGACCACTCGGCCAACGAGGCAGTCATTATATTAGTGACGTATAACTAATCTCCTAATTACTATCCTTTCGATGAGCCGCGTCAATAGTTACCAATGCAACAATTATACACCTGACGGGAAATGAAGTGTCAGTTTATTTATTTATTTATTTAAGCTTCATGCACAAAGTGTACATAAGGTGGACTTAATGCCGCAGGCATTTTCTCCCAGTCTGACCTTTGGGTGATGCAGAGAATTAATGGTGTGAGCAAGAAGCAAGCAACGAATTAATTGAGCTATTAAAATAGATACACTTACATATTTCACTGATAAACATAAAGAGACATAATTATAATATACTAGCGACCCGCCCCGGCTTCGCACGGGTGCAATATGCATGTATTATACATATAAACCTTCCTTAAGAATCACTCTATCTATTAAAAAAAACCGCATCAAAATCCGTTGCGTAGTTTTAAAGATCTAAGCATACATACGGACATACAGCGAAAGCGACTTTGTTTTATACTATGTATTGATGTATTGATATACCTACACACGAGCACAATAAACTATACATACATGCACTCATACATATATACATACATGTCAGTTGGTGCAGCCACTGACACAGACAGATTTACTATTGTAGATAGTACCTACAATAGTAAAAACGAATACAGAAATATATTTTTTGAACCCCTCTCTTTAGCAAGCTGAGGCTGTTGACTACGTAATCGGATAAATACTTTAAGTGTGGGAGAGCCATGCTTCGGCACGAATGGGCCGGCTCGACCGGAGTGATACCACGGCCGAGCAGAAAACCGACGTGAAGCAACGCTTGCGTTGTGTTTCGTCGTGTGAGTGAGGTTACCGGAGGCCCAATTACCCCCTCCCTAGTCCCCGTCTCCCGAATCCCTGAATCTTCCACATCATCAAATTCCCAATTCCCAAAAGGCCGGTAACGCAATTGTGTTTCGAGTGTCCATGGGCGACGCCAATTGCTTACCATCAGGTGATTCGTCTGCTCGTTTACCAGCTTATGCTATAAAAAAAACTTAGCCGTATTTTCCAACTCTCAAAAGTATTGTCAGATTTTTCTAGCTAGTTAAACTCTTGTCATACTTACAATGGTTGGATACTCAAAAACAATAAATAAATGAAAACACTGTATTAACTGAATATTTCGTACCATTTCTTGTCGTCGTGGTGGCCCGGAGGTTTAAGTTAAGACGCCCGCTTCTCATGCATGAGGATACGGGGTCTAAACCTACTAATGTGACCTTTTCAGAGTTATAATATGTACTTTCTAAGATTATTCAGACACCACTGACAATCGGTGAAAAAAAATATCGTGAGGAAACCTGAGCTTGTAATATTTAATTATAAGTCTGTAATCGCCAACCCGCATTGAGCAAGCGTGGTGACCTTCTCCGTGTGAGAAGAGGTTTTGCTCAGCAATGGGCATTTATAGGCTGTTGAGGATGATGATGATTTCGTACCACAGCTGTTGCAAATTGATACACTTCGAGGTCGAAATGTAAACATCTATACAGACAAATAAAATTGAAGCGTCCTATCACTACATAGTATAAAACAAAGTCGCTATCCGCCGTCTGTCTGTCCCTATGTATGCTTTAGATCTTTAAAACTACGCAACGGATTTTGATGCGGGTTTTTTAAATAGATAGACTGATTTGATTTTAAGGAAGGTTTTTATATAAATACATGCATACTGCACCCGTGCGAAGCCGGGGCGGGTCGCTAGTTGCCTATAATGGTATACATCGATATTGTTACACTACACATTTGCAAATAATCCATTTACTTCATGTATACAGATAAATAAAATTGGAGTGTTTGTAATATTAAAATAACCTTTTACTACACGCATACACACATATACACATATATAAGAATTTTTTTTTCTCCTTCTCTCGGTCTCTTTGTACTGGCTAATCTCTGGAATAGCTAGACCAATTTTGACAGGACTTTTATTGGCAGATAGCTGATATATTAACGAGTAACATAGGCTAGTTTTATTTTGGAAAATTAAAACCAAATAAAGTTCTGTCTTAAAATTCATATTCTACGCGGACAAAGTCGCGGGTAACAGATAGTTTGTAATAAAACCGATCTTAATCAAAACCCTTTAGAACCTAACGAGTTGCCGGGGCTCCGGCTCGACGTGCAGGAGAAGGAACGGGGTGGTTTTTAGTCAGTAAGAGTCTGACACTCCCTCCCGCCTCACCCAGACGGGAGCAGTCATTCGATGATTCCCGCCCTTAAAAAAAATAAATAAAAAAATAAAAAATCAAAACCCTTTGTATTGATCTAAAAAATTCTAAATTATTGACAAAAATCTAGATATTTGCATTGAAACCCTAATTACAGCTGTTAATCTTTAGAACCTAGATCACTGCAGATCACATCATTTATTTGCCTCAGTCAAAAATAAATAAATTAGACTTTTCAAGGCCTTTAAATAAAAAACAATAATCACAGACCTAAATAAATTATTATGTTTTCGGCTTACTCACATAATAATTTCACGAGGAACTCGACTAGTTTCAAGCCATGCTAGGGGCTCGAATTCATGAGCAGCATTTCGCGACCAACGCGGCGACTGTCGCGCTGCTACTAATCACAGAGCTATGAAACAAACTCAACTCAATTAGCTCAGTAGTCGCACTAGTCTACTCAACTAACGAGGCAATATTTCATGACACTATAGAAAGATATCCTCGCTGAGTTCCTCCTAATGGTGAAGGTGTGTATCTAATGGCGACTGCCACTCTAGTAGGCCCATTTGTTATCTTACTGGACATTGGTATTGTCGGACAATCTTGTCGGATTCACGTATGTAGAGTGTAGACCTATTGATGTACTTTTTTTAAGGGGGGATAACTAAAAACTTAAATTCAAAAGCATTTATTTCAATTACCTCGTTGAGTACCGTCATTATAGACACAATTAAAGAACAATAGGTTGCGGTCACCGGTGTCCTCGCGCTGTTTGACAGTTTAAACCATAATTTGGTACCTTTTAAACGTCAACAAACTCAACATAAACAATAGTCTGTCAGTCTGTCCGTCAGTGAAGCTAGGTGCTCGTTCCAAAATGTAGATTAGAGTGGAGAATAATGAGCAAGAAACTCCATCCTCCTCCTCCTCCATCCCACAGTTTGGGCAATGGGCATTGTAGCTGTCATGTTTCGAAGAGTATTTAAGCCGTCGGTATCTAAAAGCATAATAACTACATTTTTTTCTTCTTTCTGCCTTTTGAAGTGAAGATTGGAGGGATTGTCATTAGAACCCTGATGCTGCCAGATCTTTATTTTGTGTATTAATAATATATAATGGATACCAAGCACACTTCTAGGGTAGATGACTAATTTTTATTTTAATGTCCGTCTGGTAGATTATTTTAAATCATTAGACACGTATTTTTAATTTTGTACAGAAACGAATATTTTCGCAGATATATCGATTCGAAATGTAGCGTGACGTCACTTCTATGTACATTTTATACTTAGATTTTAGCCTCCACTCCTAAACTTTGATTCGTTTTATCTAAGTATTGTTTTATTATACGACAAAAAAATAAAAATACGTGTCTAATATTTTTTCTTTCCCTAACTAACGGACTATTTACATTTTTAATATTCATACCCTGTCATCATCCCTATTCAAGCCCTCTATTAGATGACGCATAATAAAATCAACTGTAAACGATTGTAGTTTAACCGTAGGACTGTATAGTGAGCGTTGACTTCCCTTCAGGGAATAAAATAAATTGATAGTATTATTGAACGCTTTCCAAGTTTGTCCACTTGAACATCTCCCGACGCGACCGACGCTCGGCACCCCGCGTGACTTTTGACGCGGCCTTTGGGAATTCAATTTTATTTTACTGATTCGTTGGGTCACTGCAATGCAATGTTTTCGTAAATAATTTGGTAAAATGGTCAATTTAATCTTGTTAAGATAAAAAATGGCATGTGTTTAAAATGCCCACATCGTTTTTTCTTCAAAATTCTCTCATAGTTAATTTATAATAACTACCAGCATAGGTACAATGCTTGAGAACAAGATTTTGAAGTAAATAAAGACGGTTTTTATCATTGTGTGCGTTTTATTGCTATACCTACTAATATTTTATAATAGGATGATATAGAAAACCTACTGAATATATACCTACAGGAATTTGTAATGGAGATTTGTTGCATGCCTCGTTGGGCGCGTGGTCGCAAGTGCGACTGCCGGGCAAGGGGTCTCGGGTTCGATACCCGGGTGTGGCAAAGAATGACTGGGTTTAAAAAAAAAATCTGTAGTAGCACGGAGTCTGGAATTGTGCCCGGTATATGGCAATAGGCTCACCTCCTATTACATGGGACTCGTAACATAAATAGTAAAAAGTGGGTGGTACATTGTACAGTGGCATAATGTACCCCTTCGGGAATAAAAGGCGTGATATTATGTTATGAACCTAAACTCCCGATGCCTTTTTTTTGTTTTGGGACAAGCCCGCCACAACCTCCCAAAACCGCTGCAACTCCTGTAAGCCAGGATCTACAGTAGATACAACCATGAAAACACCGGAACACTGAAGTCCGGCGCGTCC